ACCGAAATTTGTCACGCGAAGTTTTGAATTTTACTAGCTACACCAAGTATTAAACGATAAATTAAACACAAATTTTGAATCATATAGCGTTAGTATTTTTAACGGGAAATGAAGTACACGGGTATCAGTTATACTATTATAAAATTTAATATCAATTAATAATGATACGTAAGAGCATAATATCATACTATATTAATTTAATGTTTAAAAAATACTACATCAAATATCCTGACTTGAAATTTAGTGAAATCAATAAAGTCTAATCGATCATAAGCAGAAAAATATATATAGTTACCAAATAGTTTTACGAAAAACAAATAAATATTAAATAAATTGTTTACAAATAGAAGCAGCCTGCCATCACTCTGATGAAATGATGAATATTATATTTAACAATCTGTTTATTTATAATTTATTCTTTATTTAATTACATAAAGGTATAAGTTATTCTTACAATATATAACTTAACATTTTAATACATAATAATAAATCTACATATGGAGCATATAGCAGCATGATAAGTGGAAAATGATAACAATAGCTCATCACTTATTATTATCACATAATCTCCCCTTTCTATTTTTTTCATAGTAAAAAATATACTTATTGTCACAATATAATTTCGTATAAGCGTTTTTAACATATTGACATTTACAAAAATAAAATTAATATAGAAATAGTATAAAGAAATAGTTTACCTAACCTAATAGTGTATGCTAATATATGAACATATTTAAATTAGAACATAACCATAATATTATGAGTTTAATGTTTCATTGTTTAGGTTTGACTACCTTTCTACCTATCCAGGTTTTATATTCTTTTTGGTTTGTTTGTAAATTTGTTTTAGCAATTTTAATAATATGGAATATGGGGACACAACTACGCTCGATGCAGAGGCTCAGTACATTAAAAACAAAATGCGTCTCTATTCAAATTAATGCACAGTTTTGGGAAACTAATATAAATATATATATATATATTAAGGACTATAATATAACTTACTTGGGAGGAGAAGGGTTACTAATCAAAGTAAAAAAACATAACCAATTTATTTTATTTATGAGCTTCTTTTTTAGAAAATGTAAAAGTTCAAATTTACCGATTTAAATATTTAAATAATATATCATCATAACGGGCAAATGTAAACTGGGCCCGCGATTACCTTTTTTGATGTAAACTCGGCCCGGAAATTTCAGGTATAATAAAAAAAGTCGGTTGTAATCTTGTCCCGATAATATTTACCGATAAATTTCATGCTCATTTTAATTCAAGTTTCAATTCCAC